CACGATTTATCCTCTCCTAAATAAACAGATGGGAGGAATGAGCCCTTGGAAGTGCTTCTCTCTGTACTTCCATTACAGAAAAACTCATAAAATTAACCCAACCTAGAAGCATTGTAGGCATCTGAAAGGTATGCAAGATGCTTTAGTGACTATAGTTTATGAGGAAGCTTTGAGTCCAGCACAGTAGTTATAAATCATAGTAGTTGTAAATCTCAGCAGTTATAAAATATGGAATTAAATTACCTGTCCATGTGGTGAAAAATTCTGCTCATTTCTGCAGAGTGGCCAGAGATGTCTTAAAATCAGCCTGTGGACTTCTTTAGTGTATATGAAACAAAAAACCAGAATTGGGGCAGGGGAGAGTCGGGACACCTTGTACAATGCAGAACCCTGTTTTGTGCTAATGGAACTGGACAGAGATATCAACTCAAGCAAGATCAATCTGGATATGCTAAGCCTTGCTAATGGATTCTGATTATTAAGGGGGGGAAGAAAAGTAATGCCTGCACAGGGGCAGGCTTCACTACAGGCTACACTATTCTGTGGCTTAAGGACAAATTCCCCTATGATGCAAGCAAACGCCCTTCCTTAAATCAGTATCTTTGGGATTGCAATAGAAAATAATGTATCTTTTTGTAGAGAGCAAGGAGACTTTTGGAAAGAGAGAACTCTTCCATCAGATAAAAAAAGAGACCACTGTCTGTGTTTTCACTTGAATAACGTATCCAGCAGAGAGTATTTAAACTGTGTTACTGTCTGCCAGTTCAAGCTCCAGGATGGGCTTTGAACCCACACAGCTCTGGAGCCATAGCTGTCACCAAACTTTTTTGAGAGCTCTTCTTTAACTTCTTCTCAGTAGTTTTCACGCTTTCATAGAGTCATAAAACATGGGAAAAAATAGGCTCACTCTACCAACAGAAAAATATTGTGTAAGGAAATATATGCTGTGGTAAGTATCCGCAGGAAAGTATTAATCATTTCTTTCACTAAAAAAAGGAAAAACCACCCAATGCTGAAAAAGTAGTAGTACTGTAAAAGTAACTTGTTAGATAGATAAAGGACTCCAGAGTCTATGACAGTGTTTGTCTCTTGGAAGTCTGTTCTTCAATCCCACAAGAATTGTGGGATTTAGCATTGAACAAGCGAGGTAAGAATAGAGGCTAAGTTATGTATAAGAATTTAAAAAGCAACTTGTCCTGCTTTCCCCCCAGAAAACAGCAAACAAGCTAAATACCTAGACTGGTTGTGTTGATTTAAGCCATTTACAAAACTGTACTTCTGAGCTATGTTTGCATTAAGCAGAGCTGGATGCCAGGTTTCCTCTCTATTTTGAGAAATTCATCATAGCTAGAAACTGCAGGAGATAGAGACACAGGCCCAAAACACCACATAACCACAGTGAATTCACTACTCAAAACCCCAAATAGCAGTGGAAAAGACACTGAGTCATCAATTACAAAAAGAAGCACTCACAGGTAGTAGAATTAGTTCCTCAGATTTCACCTGAGACCTCACAATGACAGCAAGTTGGCACCACACCACAGTATGCTTCTTTCAGTTCAGCTCCATGTTCTCTCTCATGACATGCACTGATTTTCCTGGCCTGTGCTACTTGGTCTAGTGACAAAAGTTACAGGTTTGTGAGATTTCTATTCTCTTCTGTAGTTATAAAGCACATAGATTCATTAATTCATAAAGCCAGGAGAGAACTTGGGTTGGTCTGGTTTTTCCTCTTATGATACTGCCATCCCAGAGTGTTGACCAAAAAAATTCTATCATGTTAGGGACATTTGGAAGCTTCTTTCACAGGTAAGCATTTTTCTGTTCAGAACTGGTTGTCATCTGAATTTGTGTACCTTCAGATTTTTGCTAGTGGTTCTAATTATGCCCTTCTGAGGTAGATTAAAGAGTCTCTTAGGAAAACCCATGTTCTAAGTATTTTTCCTTAAAGAATCAAGCCAGCTCCCAGTTTTCTTTCCTTTAGACATTACCCCAAATGAGCTTCCAAGTCTCTCACCAGAAGGCATTTTCCCCACTTCCTCACGCAAACACTTTTTGTGGCTGTTTTCTGAACTTACTTCAGTGTTTCCATATCCCTTCAAAAATGCTGACATCAGGACTAGAGGAATTCCTCCAGCATCAGCTTGACCAATGCCATATAAAAGGATATATCTTGTAACTCATAATTACTATTACTTGTCACATTCATGTTCACTTGCTCAATGGGACTTCTTACTCAACTGCCCATCCTATACGACCCTTGATCAGCTAATTAGAAGCCAAAATTTTCTGTGCTGTTAGTATGGCTTTGATCCCTTGTTCCTTGATGAATAAGTGTGTAGTTAGCTGAGTCAGAATGCACTCTGTGGAGTCAGCAAGGCTTACTGCATTGTATTCTACAACTTACCACCATTTAACACTCTGCTGGCTGTCATGCTATCAGCAACCATTACCAAGAGATGATTTTATGCTTACTTCCAGACCACTGATGAAGATTCTGCCCTAAAATGTGAAGTGTTTCTTTCTGTATAGAGTAGAGAAAGAGCAATACAGTCTATTGTGTACTAGAAGAAATTTCTCAAGTTAACTCAAGAAATGCTGTATATATAATAAAATGCCAGGTCACATTTTGTGCCCTAGTCTTCAGTTTTTGACTAACTTAATGATAACATTGAAATGAAGACATTTCTAGATAGACACTGAAGGCCAAGCTATCCAATTTCTGTGTAGATTAGGTACATGGACTCTCCATTTTGATCCTAGTACATGGCATGCTTAAAATCCATAGCCTGCTCACACTTCCTTGGCAGATTAGGTTAAAGAAATACATATGAGATTGAAGTCTTGAAATATGTGCCCATGTCAAGAGTTAAAAAATGAGAAAAGAAAAAGGAAGGAATACTTAGCCCACACCTTGGTTATACTGTGAGAATGAAGTTGATTACTGATGGCAATATTAAAGTTGAAGCTGGAGCTTTCAGTACTTTTCAGACCTTGTTAGTCCAGAATACCATATTCTGCTGAAATATTTGAAAGCATCCAATATTAGTGGTGCATTTAAACAGACTGGTATCTAAGCCTCATCCAGCTTCTCACTCCCTCTCACCACAGTGAGATGCAGCAGCAAAAGTGAAAAAAACTCACGGGTTGTTAAAGACCCGTTGATAAGTGAAAATTGATAAGTGAAGAAAAAGGAGGTAGAACCATGTGATGTAAAGGCAATCACTCACCTCACCTCACACCAGCAGACCGAGGCTCAGCCACTTTCCAAGTGATGGTTATCTTGGAAGGACTCTCCCCCTGCTTTAGTGCTGAACATAATGTTATACAGCACGGAATATCTCCTTGGCCAGTCAGGGTCAGCTGTCCCAGCTGTTTCTCCTCCCAGACTCTTGCCCAATCCACACTGCTTGCACTGGGGCAGACTGTGATAGAAAAGGCCTTGACTCTATGCAGGCACCATTGAGCTGTGGCTAACAGTTACCAACACAGGTTTGGTCACAAATCATAGCTGTAACCTCACACAGGATGCTAGGAACAAACTTCACTCCATCCCAGCCAGACCCAGTGTACTACTGGAAAACAAAGGAGCGATGACAGGTGCTGAATTCAGATTATGAAGGCAAGTAGTCAGGTTTTTCAGAGCTCTGCTCTAGCCCAAGTAGGTGTTTACTTTATTTGGGTATATAGTATATAAAGTTGAAAACAGCTTTACATCCTAAATTCAACAGCCTTAGACTGTAGATTGTTATAACTAACAAAGTTATGAATGCCCACCTCCTTTAAGCAATACTGTATTTCTTTCATGAAAATAAAACCTATACATATAATAAATTATAGAACTCTTTCCACATAGGACAAAGGCTGTTTTTTAAGACGAGCTGTGCTACACTGAACTTGTACTGACTTTTTAAAATATAGACCTTTACACAAATCTGATTTGTCTTTATTGCTTCACAGTCTTAAGCTTCATGCTCTGCCTGCTTCAGTATTTGAAAATCAATTACTTCAAAGTATTAATGTTATGAAGAGTTGCTTGCACAGTTTACACTAAAAGAGATTGTTCAAAACATTCAAATTGCTTTTAATTATTTAGAGTGGCCTCACTTAGATGTAAAAACAATTACCATACTTCCATATTACTCTTTTGTTAGCTTATGAGCTCATTTTAATTTTCAAAACTCATATATACTACTCACTGTATAGTAGCAGCCTGCACTGTCTCAATGACAAGATATTAAATACCCTGCACTCTGTTTCCATTTAGTGTAGAAAGGAATCTAGGTCTGCTGCATCCAGAAATGGAATTAAGTTATCACAGAATATTGATTTCAACACTGAGAAATGATGTGTCTTTGATGAAAAATTTAAATGTGAAATAAAGTTAAAGTAAAAATAAGATAGAATGTCATCTATTAATTTCAAAGAGTATTAGAAATATGAGACAAAATTAAGATCTGAAAATTCAGGTTTCTGCATCATCCTCATTCAACTGTGATGTTATTGCTGGCCAAAATAACTTGGTTTTGTTCCCATAGCTTAGCTAAAAGTTTATTTGTTGATATATGATCTCACAAAAATCTTTCTCTGAGTTGGGATGGGAAAACAGCTTAGACATCCAGCCCTTCCTCTGGAAAGGTTTTGTAAAGGCTCCATTGCTTTGGTCAGACTTTTGTGTCTGGGCTCATAATCTAGGAAGAGCAAAGCCATGAATCCCTCACAATTATTATTTTATATAAAGTGACCTGTTCTCAGGCTGCTATTTCAACCAGGGAGGTTGGCAAGAGAGATGAGGGTAATACCTACCTATAGTGTAATAGGCTCTTCCCACTAAGCTCCTGAAAGCTGAAACACTGTGGATTTTCTATCTTATAAATATCCAGTTAAAGAAGAAAAAAGAATCCGATTATCCATGAATAAATGATACTGGGATCCCATTACAAGCAGAAACCTTTTTACATTCCATTGCCCGAAGCATTTTCTTGAATTATTTCTTGCAGAGTTCAGATTGTTGAACAATGGGATTTGAAGTTTGGAGGAGGAAGATTTGGATACAGTGGAATTATTTGGGATGTGAACATCAGGCAGGAGAACAACCACAGACTTTTAGCTCTCTTCAGGACCAGACCCAGCATATTTCACTCACCTTGGTGACTCCTCCCTGGCACCTGCTTCTTGTCCCTATATGAGGCTGAGAGACAGACAGAGTACCAGTCTCAGCAGCTCAAAAGTGATTTTCTAAATAGTGAACTCAAATATTTTTGGCAGTAGTTACATCAAATGGATCAGAAAGTTGGAGAAAGTACATTGGTGGACATTTTATTAATCTGACTGTACAGATTAAGAATTCCATTATTCTGAGGTTTGTACTTTTCTAGACCTGCCAGAAATGGGGTCATCTGAATCGAAGGTTTCCACACATGGAAGAAACATCAAATCACATTACAAATATTCAGAGAAAGGAGCTCTGGTTTATGAAAAACTATATTCAATTTTCATTATTATTTATCAACAATGTCCATCCTCAGTGAAAAAAATTCCAATTTCTAGTGTGTAAAGCTTGAAGGAAGTACACAGAATGATTTTGAAAAGCAGATCTGTGTTCTTCCATTTAATATTAAATCTGGTTTTCTTTTTTTTTCCCCCTGAGGAAGGGAACACCACTTTTTTATTTTCTCTTGAAATATTTTTTTCTCTCTAGTTCTGAGGAAACTTCACTACTTCTGATGAAGGAAGAAGTGGAGATGCCAACATTTGATGCTGATTCAGAGGCACCCACCACATGCTATAAAAGCTGCTGCCTGAAAGGGATTATGTGTTCCTTGAACTATTATACGCTTAAGGAGATATGAATAAACTTCCAAATTCCAAAATGATTGAAAAAATGGAAATGTTCCCACAGGGGAAAAAAAAAAAAAAAAGAAACTTGAAGAAATTGAATCAATTCATGACAAATTTTGCCAACACATTTCATATGAATAATATGTCAGATGTCCTGGAGTTATTTCTACAACTAGTCTACAAACAAGAACTGTCAGTATGAGCGTGGTTGCATCTGCTTATTCTTTAGTTCCAGAACATTTACAAACCTGTAGCAAAGAATAATGCCAAAAGACTTTCGTGTTCAGCAGATGAAGAACACAAAACACAATGAAGAATCAGAAGACTAGTATATAAGTCCATATATAAGTCCTTTGATCTCATCCTCTAGATTCTATGTCAAAGAACGAAAAGCATCTGAAAAGGGACCAATTTTTCAGAGCTTTCTTAGTCAGACATTGTCTCTTACATAGGTGTCATGGTCACTTTTCACTGAGGTTACTTTCATCATCATTACTCTCAATCACCTCTTTTAAATATATTAAATAGCCTCAGGTCACCATGCTGGTTTTGGTAAGTGCAAATTATTATCTACTTGGTTTGAAAGTTCAGACAGAAAAAGTTAGACCCTTAATTTCACTAGTCCTTGGCATTTATCAGAGGATTTTTTAAATCAGAAAAGAATCATAGTGGCTGAAAATCTGAGTGCAATAATCCAAGAATTACCGAAGCAAGCTATTTCATAATATATTGCAGTTCAGTTTCAGTATAACCCTAAGCTTTATTGCATTCTTTTCTTTAGAAGCAAATTTGCCTTAGGCATACTATTTTTGACAGTCTAGAATACATCCTCCATAAACCTAAATTCATATGGTAAGTTCTTATTCTTAAATCCAATTTTATCTTTATTTTGGAGGAAAAATTAAAGATAAAGATCAGTTTCTACACTTCCCCTTAGCTGCTTCAAAAAAAAGGAATGCAAACTGACAAAGCGTCTTTATTTCTACTTATTATTCCAATTACTTATCTGCAGTTTGGATCATGATTGCTTCTATTTATACTGGGAGCCTACACATTGCACTATTTCTGCATGACTGCTTGTCAAACAAACACCTCAAACAACGATAAACAGCTCCCTTTGATAATTAGAAATTCAGAATTTTTCAGGGGAAACAAGTGAAACATATTTTTTAAATAGAAGGTGACTGAGCTGTGAATTGGAGCTGTATGCCTCAAATTTAGTAACTGAGACAGCTAGAAGTAAAACAAAGTCCTAAAATAAAGACCAGGGCTCACAGTACATAAAGTAAACTTTTAGTAATAAAACATGCTTACACACATGAAATATTCAAAGTTTGTAACGTGCTATGTAGCATGTAGCTGCACTCTGTAAACATACATGAAAAATACTTCTGGTGATCCTGTTCTGACTAAAATGTTGCTCAAAATTAGCATTAAATGAATGGAGTTTTTTACTAAGGGAGTACACAAAATTGTATGTAGGTAGCTCTGCCTCTCTTTTGAAAGGCTGTAAGAAATAGAATTAATGTGTAATACCAGTTTTCATTTACTAAAAAACCAATATTTTAGATCTTGTTATAAAGACGTCACATACGGCACTGACAAGAAAACAAAACCTGAACAAATATGTCAGGAAACGATGTCATTAAGTCAAAGTGACAGTCATGTTTCTATCTGAAAATTAGGGCAGCTAATGGGGAACACTGGCATAAACTGGTTTTAGCCTTCTCCTAAGAACCTGAGGTGGCAGTGACATGGGTCTGTCTCTCAGGACACTCTCCATGACAAACTTCCTCCTTCACACACTGTGGAGCAAAGTAGCACTAAAGAATTACTTGAGAAAAAGTCTGTCAGCCCCTATAAATTTGGGCAGAAAGGCACAGGCGATTTTGAGGGAGCAGTACTTGATTTCCTTCCAAGGAAGTTAACATAATGCAGTCCACTTGTTAAGAGCCTGCTGTGGCAAGGTGTTGAGAACTCTCTGGTTCAATGGGCTATAGTCAGCATGGGATGCTGAGCACATTTCAAGTTGCTCCCTGAATCATGCAGGCATCCAATATGCTCACAACTGTTCTAGCAGTCACCCTAAAGATTTGCACATAACCCACGGACACAAAAAAGGAAGGTTGAAGCATATGGCAAGATTTTAAATTTCTCTGAAAGACATCAGAGAACTTTACATGTAATCACAAAATATTGCACATTCAAATGCTTCAAAGCTGTTTGTAAAAGATCACTGTCATACTGTGGGATTAATTCTTCTGTTATTCTCCTTTTGCTTCAGTAAGCCCCTGCTGAGAATCTAAGAGTGCCTTGGCTCCACAGGTCTTTCTGCAGGAGCATTTATTGAAAGATACCAGCAAACACAGGGCTGTAGTTAGACTGATGCCAGTTAGACTGATGTAATTCCTTTAGATGCTAGGGCAGGTTTATCTATAGAAATCCAATCTTTTGCAGGTTCAGATTTGTCCTGTCATCTACCCAGCTTTGCTCCAGCTGAGAAGTTTCAGAGGTGTGCGTGTTCCCAGACAAGTGATATCTGCAAAATGCTACTCTTGCTCTCAGTCCCTTGTTCCCCTATTCATCTTGTGTAACCTACAAATGTTGAATATGCTATCTAATCCTAGGAGGTCCTTCTAAAACTAACTTACTGCCAGTTTTGGCCAGACAGCTGCTTTATCTTCCCCTTTATTCAGGGCTCAGAGTCTCACCCCCTTTGACTGACAAAAAGCAAGTTGCCTTACCCTGCTAATCTTTGAGATTGTCACAACAATTCACAGTGTGGCATGTTGACAATACGGCTAAACTCAGACCTTCTGCTCCAAATGTAAATGTCCATTACACTTTAGATAAAGGAAAACCTTTGCTAAATCCTTACCACAGCCACAGTTATAGTGATATTTCTTTTGGTGCCAATATCTGCTTAAGCAGTTCCTTGCACATTCTCTCTCTCCACTCCTCCATCGCCATTCCAGCCCTTGCTGCCCCATTAATTAATTATGCTGCTACAACTGTCTTTCAGAACATACCAATGACCAGCCTACAAATAATTTGGCAGGAAAAATGAAATCATGTTTAATACTGGTCCGTTTTCCCACCTCATTGTTCCTACAGACATGAAGAGTGGCACCAAGAGAAGGGCTGGCATGTCAGGCCAGTTTCACCACTAACAGATGGTCTGAGCAGCCATGCCCAATGAACTACATTAGAAACATGATTCACTGGGAAAGTTAATTCAGTTATACAGGCTGACTCACCACAGCTTTATTGTGGAATAGTGCAATTATGCTACCCTCTACAGAATACCAAGGCTAGTTTGGCAAGACAGCTAAGCTGACCTAACACCATGTCACTGCTAAAACTGGCTGTGCAATCTCTCCCCTTTCAGGCCATGAAGGTGCTCCTGCCCCAGACTTCCACCACCATGGGCACCTGATTGACCCCCAATGGGAACTGTAATTCCATTAACACATTTTTACAGGATTCATTTTTTTCTAAGTCTAGAACTCTAAATCAAGTCACCATGGGGACAAGTGCCATGCAAAGGAGACAGGCCAGTCATGCAGTTGGGAATGAAATGGCAGGAAAGGGATAAGACTGGTTCTTTGGGTAGCAGTGAACAATTAAGCTGGTTTAGCTTTAGAGTCAAACTACATAATGACCAAAGAAAACACAAAGAAGTACTACCTATCTGTCAGTCTCCAGTGAACATAAAAGGGCAAGAAGGTTCATTTTCCTGGCTTAACGTGGTGGCATGTGTTAGAACTGGGCAAAGAAAGTGGATTAATTTCTGCTGAAACTAGAGTTTTGGGAGGATAACAGGCATGGCTCATTAGCTCCACTAGGGGTAGGGGAGGGGAAGGTGGCTTTTCCCCTGGGGGCTTAGGTAAACACAGAACTTTACAGGAAAGTGCTTTAAGCAGCCAAGCTTGAGAGGAAATATCAGACTAATGTTTGCATCTTAGCTGTTCTTTCAACTAACAGCAGAGATACAGTCTATGGAAATTACATTTTTAATTCTGCTTATTCTTTATCCCATGCAGGTAGTAATTTTTAATAGCCTTTTACTGATCCTTTGGTAAAAGGTTTCTGAATTGCAGTTTGTCTCAGCTGGTAATTTGACAACATGGAGACTTCAGCAGTAATGCCAACTACGGAGTAAGAAGGGTTAATTTGACATCCCACTTGGCCTGAGATTTCCCACTTCTTATATACGCCTGTGCACTAAATGAGAGAAGCTAGGCTGTACAGATGAACAAGGTCTTGTTAGAAAAAATGATGCTGTTTGGAAGTATGTTCTTCTACTCAATACCTGGATCTAGTAGAAGGTGTCCCTGCCCATGGCAGGGGGAGAAGAACTAGACAAC